CGGACAGAAGGCGAGCGGCCACCTGTGCAACGCTGCATCTGAGATGGAAGTGTCATGGCACAGCAATGCTCACAGCAACGTTCACAGCCTTAAGCACTTTTTATGCGTGGTGTGCTTGACGCTGGAAATGCTGCAGCGTTGCACTCCGGTGGCACCGGAGTTGTAGCACTCGGCCCGTGGAGCTGCACGCTTGCAGTGCTTGCGACGATCATGGACGCATCTTCTTGCAATAAGCAGAGACTCATCTTTGCTTCAGCTGTCTCCGCCTTGTACTGGGTCTGCATGTGCATCGCTCGTGCAATCCACCCTCCGCCATGGCCCAGTACGACACAAAATGCCGGACGAAAGAGCCCTGGGCAGTGCCTTAGCATCGGTACATCGCCGGAAGGGTCGTGGCCGCCCGTTGCCTCAAAATGACCTGCTGCTGCCACGAAGGCATGTGCGTCGGGATTCACACATGCAAGCAGGCAAGCGCGGCAAGCACCAACACCTGGCACAGAAACAAATCCAGAGATCATCTCGCGCAGGCTTGCTGCAGTTCCCGTGCTCTGTAGAGAAGCACGGGCAAGGCTTCCACAGCTCACATTACGTGGAAAGGATCCACATGGCGGTTACCTTCGAGCTTGAGCTGGCGCGCATCACCACAGCCCAGCATCTCGTGTGTTTACTGCAGGCGCCACCACTGAGGATCCTGAGCAGAAGGGCGCATTTAGCTCAGTCTTGGCACGGTTTAACATCTTCGCCTGATGACGGTGTTCCGGCATCCCCAACACATGTAAGTAATTACACCTCCTGCACACTGACAAGCTTGTGAGCCATGCACCTCAGCCTGGCGGACTAGCACGTGGCTAGGGCCAAAGCTTGAGCCATCTCCATCGCCCCAGCGGCCACGCGATGCGTGCGATGTCTGCAAGTTGCAGAAGTTGCAGGATGCTGAAGACTCACAGGAGAGGACGACCTGTCACCGAGAGCTGGCCGCGTCACGGTCAAGGCCTGAGACCTGCAGTGCTTCGCACCTTTCAGTGTGACATTTCAATGCGGGGCCTTCGACATACAGAAGCGCGCATCTGTGTGTGAGCAGCCTGAAGCATGCTCATTTCTCGAGCTTTCTTGCCCTTCGAGCACAGTGGAAGGACTGCCAACCGGAACAGTGTCGTCTTAATGTCTGCGGTTCTGGACATGGGAATGACACGATGCCATGTTGCACGAATCCCTTTAACGTTCCACGGGCTCATCAAAACCTGTCACGTGCAAGAAACCAAGGCTTGAATTTCACGCCGCCTTTTCTGTACTCGCCGGTGTTTTTGCAAGGATGGAAAGCTCTGGGGCAGACCTCCAGGGCTCAGAACTCCTACACGGGCAACACCTGCAGGGCATGCAGCCACCTAGTTAAACTCGAATAGCCCCACCCAGAACTTGCAAGAACTCCTCCGACATTGTTGAACATTCTTGGCCGATTGGAGAGAACGAGTGCAGACTGCATGGCTGCAGTGCTACGGTTGTTCGAGGGTTCTCGGACGTGCGATGAAAGCTCCAAAAAAGGCGAGCACAAGTTCGCGAAGTTTGCTGTTGCATGCCTCCCGCTGCAACTCAGCTGAGCGCGAGAGCGGCAAAGCTTCATGTATTCCTGCTTCTGGTCGTACAGGGTGCAGAAGGCGCACGTGCCGCGCCTCGAGATTTCACCCGCACCTTCAAGCTTAAGCGCATGCCGGGCAAGGCCAAAGCCCGACACTCCTCCCAGAGTCTTACCAGAAAGTACATTCCGGATTCCACATTGGTGCTTCGGGGCGATGGACTCTGGCAGCTTCGGGCCGAGAAGGTTTGCGGGCCCTGCCTTCTTGCCCAGGCGTATCGCTCGTTGCATCGCAAACGGGCGATGCGTGTCCTGCAGGGCCCGGGCCCCTGCGTCAGACAGTAACCGGACTGAGGCTCACGTTCGAGAAGCTCTCTGCACATAAGGTGTGTCAAGGCTTGCGACTGTCCACAAAATGCTTGGTACTACTCGGCTATGGCTGCACATCACGGACACTGTGAACATGCACAGGTATGTCCACTCTTTGTCGCTGTCTGTCCTACGTCACTTCTATCTGCAGAAAGCCACCCCCGAGATCCCGCGGTGTGACGGAAGGAGTCCGCAAAAGCATGCATCCGCATGTTCGTACCTCCACCTTAACATGGCACTGCAAACGACATCGTCCGTTGCGCCGGAGGTAGCATCGTGCATCGCAACCGACAGGATGTCAACCGCTGCCCAATCGGCTTGCATACTGGTCAGCATTTCATTGGATGTCGACTCCTGTTTGGACAATGCTAGCAATATCTGCACCTCAAGTAGAGTTTCGAAGTCGGAATTCGGGGAATTCGGGGCAAAGCCATGACAAGGTACCATACAAGGCAGGTCTTGCTCTCAAGTGCCCAGCACCCGTCCAGCGGCCAGAACACTGGGCAGACCGGGCTGGGAAGTGCAAGTCGCACGTGGAGGAACGCACTGCGACGAGTGCCATTCCCACCACCAGTCTTCAGAGGATTTGTTTCACCCACTCAGCACCGGCCATGTTGCGCAAGATGCTGCCTTGAAAAGCGAGAAGACCTTCCCAAAAGGCTATGTCTACGGTGGCCTGCACCGAAGCCGTGCATCGCTGTGCAAATGAAAGAGCATCTCAGGCTGTGAGACACAAGTCTGTCAATCCCATAGGGTCACACGTGAGCCCTCGCCAAAAACCATGAAACCCTGAAGTGCTACTCGTGCGAGCGGTTGTGTCCAAGCGGCGTCGCCTGGCAGTGCGCAGCGACCCCTTCTCTCAAACGCAGTTGCCTGTCCTGGAGCTGATCGGACATGTCAAGACTACGACAAGCTAGCGAGAATGATTTAATGAAAATGAATGAAAGAGAGTGCTCGCGGCTTTACGCCGGAACCCGTGAAGATGGCTCGCAATGCGCTTGGCCCGCTGCAGTTTCACGGGCATGCAACGGAGAATTCGAGAGGCAGCCTAGCCTTGCGGTTCCCATGAGTCTGAGCCTGGCATGACAAACGACCAACGGACACAGCACATCGTGTCCTTGGGCCGGCATGCTGCCCAGCATCGTCGCTCAAGATGCTGCCTTGAAAAGCGAGAAGACCTTCCCAAAAGGCTATGTCTACGGTGGCCTGCACCGAAGCCGTGCATCGCTGTGCAAATGAAAGAGCATCTCAGGCTGTGAGACACAAGTCTGTCAATCCCATAGGGTCACACGTGAGCCCTCGCCAAAAACCATGAAACCCTGAAGTGCTACTCGTGCGAGCGGTTGTGTCCAAGCGGCGTCGCCTGGCAGTGCGCAGCGACCCCTTCTCTCAAACGCAGTTGCCTGTCCTGGAGCTGATCGGACATGTCAAGACTACGACAAGCTAGCGAGAATGATTTAATGAAAATGAATGAAAGAGAGTGCTCGCCGCTTTACGCCGGAACCCGTGAAGATGGCTCGCAATGCGCTTGGCCCGCTGCAGTTTCACGGGCATGCAACGGAGAATTCGAGAGGCAGCCTAGCCTTGCGGTTCCCATGAGTCTGAGCCTGGCATGACAAACGACCAACGGACACGGCACATCGTGTCCTTGGGCTGGCATGCTGCCCAGCATCCCAAAACAGCTGAGCAAGATTTCCTGATAGATGTCTACAGGAGACGACATGTCGGGGACATTGGAATGACTCAATGCCAATTATTATGGCTGGGTTGGCTATGACGCAAGCACTAGAGCAAAATCGACGTCAGGAACACTTTTCGTGACTTCATGAGTTGAAGGTAAGCCAACTCTGTTGTGTGGCACGGATGGCTCAACGTGAACCAGAGGCAATACCGTTGCCTAGGACTTCGTCAAACACATGCTGCCGGCACGCCACTCGCCTGAACAGGCCTGAAACCACGCAGCTAAGTCCACAAAGGTCCCGAGGGCGATCGCTAGGCAAAATGATCTACTGCGGGAACTTCTATGATGGCTGCGCCCTGCGCATCTATGCATCTTTCCACATCTGCGTGATTCACAGATCTGATTCCCAAAACTGTTGATACGATATGCGAGATGATGCCGAGGCTTGACAAGCCGCCGAAGCCAGCCATGTCAGGCCAGCTTCGTGTAGGCAGGCGCTCAACAGGCTTGTGACTATAGGTAAGCAGGACAAGATGCTATCTTAGGCGAAACTCGTAAAGCATTACATCGTCGAAAGTGCCCAGAGCAAGCCCTGCAAGACCTGTCCAAACATAGATATAGATAGGAACATACGCATGGATACATGTACACAACGGAGCTAGCTAAGGTACTCTTGAGCCAAGACAGTCTCGCATGCCTACCCTGCATAGGGGAGCCAAGATGCCTGAATGGACAGTGCCGTGCTTCAGCTTTCTCGGCACTGTCTAAAGCTAGAAGCCTTGTTCCCCGTGGCACGAATACCTGTCCTGGTTGCAGACTCCATCCCCCTTCTGGGTTTACTGACACACTCCATCCAGCCGTCCTGTAATGAGCCGAGGATTTCGATATGTTTAGATGCATGCATCAAAGCTGCGAGACCGTTCTTGCTTGTCACATCGTTGTCGGCACTGGCCGCCAGCAGCAAACTGACGTCGAAATGCCCTTAAACAGCTGCCTGTCTCATCTTTGTGATTACGAAGCGAGCAACTGCACCAAACATGTCACAGCAAAAAATCTTGCGTCTCAGCCTACCACAAGGCCAATCACTGGATTTTGCATGTGGTCCCACTTCCCGAAGCATCAAAGCCTGAACAACTGTATTCAAGCTCAGGGATTGAAGCTGTGTTTTGTCCTGCAGCGGTGGTAGCGATCGTGACGAAGTCCGGCCTTGACTCTCCCCGATATTCAAGGAAATCCGAAGGAAATCCGAAGGATCTCCCATAATACTCCTTCCGTGCAGAATATCTGCACAGGGAGCGAGAACGCCTGTCACAGCAAAACTTGGAACCTGACTAATGGGATACTACAAAGCCCGCACGCCGTCACAGAAGCATTCGATTACCTGCTGTTGCTCCGACCACGACCGCGACCACGGCTGTCGTCACGCTTCGAGTTGCGTGTATATCCACACCTAAGTATGGACAACAAAGTCCAAACAGAGACAATGTGTAGCCTGCGAAACCCGATCCTGAAACAGGGAAAATATGTACCTCGGCTGCCGTTCGGGGCGCTTGAAGCAGGTGTCTTTCGATGCGAAGACTATGGCGCCACAGTTGGGGCAGTCCCAGTCGCCTAAGCTGAGTCATCGCATGGCCGGGATCTCGATCATATGTAAGCACTGCACAGAAACCAAATCACTTGCCAACTAAGTAGCCACCTCACATCGCTCACGATTGGATCGATCGACCGCTTCCCCATTCAGAAGCTGACAACGCTTGACCGTCAAGCAAAACTATCCTGGTACAGAGAGAACCTCGAAAACCTGCGTAAACTCCTCCAGGACCCCGTGGAAAATCTCTTGAAATACTGGTACATCTAGAGCTTAGACCCTGTAGAGCCGAGCCGAGTTGGCCAAATGGCCTGGCCGTCTCTCGAAGGCGGGTCCGCCGCCGCCCCCGCCGCCGCGGCCTGGGCTTCGTGCTCGAGCTCAGGGCCTTCCTAGATACGATGGCTGTCATAGGATGTCTTCGTCTTCGCTGGCTTCGGGGTGTTCGCTTCGGCTCTGCTTCACACCGAAACATAGACTGCGTCAGGTCCTGGTGCTTCAGGTCTCGGCTTGTGAACTTCGTCGCTCTTGGCTCTTGTATGTTCGTCCCAATTTCTTGCTAGAGCCGTTACTGTTAGAGAATTCCTAGTGGACTCTGGAAAACCTGTCTTGCTTTCCTGCGCCTTCCTGAATCGCCCGAAGTGCAGCATAGATAGCAAGGTAGACGCGACCTGCCATCTGCCTCGGGGCTTTGACGTGCCTTTTGCAGTGGTGTACACCAGGTTGTATGCGAAACTTGAGATGAGACTTGTGACTTGTGCTCGGTTGCATGTGCAAGACACTCACAACTCCACAACTTCCACCTAGGGACGGGGTGGAGGTGAACGGCGCCGGCTGCGACTGCGGCTGCGGCTGCCGCCGCCGCCGCCACCACGGCTTCGACTACGGCTACGGCTTCGACGCTTGCGCCGGCTACCGCCCACGGCCTCTACCTGGCAGGAGCAACACGCACCACTCCCAAGAACATTAAACTTTGAACAGATATTGGAAGGAAAGCTCCCACCTCGCGGGCGCGGTCCTTCCCTTTGCGGTCGTCCCATTCCACCTGGTCACAAGTATCGGGGCAGATGCCTCAACCAGGTCGGGTGCAATCAGCTGGTCAAGACAGAGCAGCTGACACGACCAATTTCAACGTGCATTGACTTTCCCTTGGTCCAGCACTCCTTCGGGGTCTAAGCCGGCTTTAGAAAGGTCTTGGATCCAAACTATTGCCAGTCTCGTTCTCGTTTGACCAAGGATTCAATCCTTTAAGTTGGGGTTTCGCAGTTCAGGCGCTCTCGGTTGCAGAGGTTTGGCGATCGGGGATTTAGAGGCTGAGGCATGTCTCTTTTCCAGAACTTCCGAGCTGCCTTAGTTCGGAAGACCACTTAAACTCAAACTGCTAATTGACTCCCACTCTCGGGGCATTGGAAGTTTGGCATCGTTGCGAAGGTGTGTTAGAAGGCATGCGCATGCACCTTAACCCAAACTCCTCCAAGCCTCTTCACTCCCTCAGCTCCTGAATCCCTACGCCCTCTGACCTGAACCCTGGACCCCCAGCCCATGACGAAACTACAGATCCTGCCCAACCTCGCAATGTCAAGTCAATTCCGAATGGCACGGGGGTCCTACTCCTGAGCCCTCCATACTCCCTTATAAACCTCATGTGCTGTGCCAGATTCATCCTGGAACTTGCAACCCAACGCCACTGCAGTTGCTCCAAGTTTCGGACATCATATATCACTTCGTCGCCTGGGGCTGGTTTCAGGAGGATTTGAGGTCGATTGAGTTCATCCTTAAAGCGCAGGCATTCCCTCGCTCCCTCCCCTCCCTCCCCTCCCTCCCTTCCCGCCGCATCCTGCCCCACCCCGTCCCCGTCCCCGCCCCGTCCCCCGTCCGTCTCGGACGAATTTGTATCGTTCGGGGGGTGCGGGCCGTGCCGCAACGCACGAGGCACGACACTTCGTAACTGTCCGCCCTTCTGATCTCTTCCGCTTCTCTCTGGGCGACCGGCCATCTCTGACGCTGCCATCTCCATCTAACAGGGCCGTGACGTGGCAGAACACATTTTCACCTGCCATCGGCGGCTCGGCTGGTGCTTTGTCTGGCAACTCTTGCAGCGAAGTTTGATGCGCTACGACACAGGCGAGAAACAAGATGTCAATGGATAGGTCTTTCCGGCGTGTGCCCACGGCGTGTGCCGTTTGCAACACAATCTGTCCAAGCCGAAGTCCCGGACCTCCCCGAAAGCTTCGGGATCTGTTTTGCCTCTGGGGCCCCGACCCCCTTCGTTGGGGCGGATGAAGCCGAAACCCTTGTCCTCATGCCAGCGAAGGATGACCTCAGCTTGGGCTCAGGATTCGCAGCCGCAGGAAGGGGAAGGGGGAGTCTGAGTCTTGAAGCTGGGACCTCGGTCGGAAATCATACAGCCTTGGGATCCTCGACCCCATAGAAGAAACCCGCCTCTCAAGTACAACCGCAAGGCCTCTCTATTCTTCTCGGTGGGTAAGGGTGTCAGGCTATGCTCCGGGAATGCGCGTGCGAGGGTACCTTGCGGCATCACCGCATATGTACAGATCGCAAGGTGTGGCTGGGAAGTCGAAACAAGGGCGAACCTCACCAAGCATGAACAGCACGGCACACGCAAAAGCGTCCACACCGAATCGCAAGGCGAACCCCAGACCACCCGAGATCAAATCAATCTCCATCCACAACACCAGACCCTTACATTCGAGGCTTCAGTGGCTCCACGGGGCATGGCCCCTTGCGGTAATGAAGCACACCCCACGCTGCGGACCCAGCTGCGGCATAGACTTGCTAAGCACGGCTACTCTGAACCACACCAGCAAGAACAACATGTTGGTCAGTGCTTCCCGGTGTTAAGAGTGGGGCATGCCAGCTTCCAACAACGCACGGCGCGGCTTTGCATGTTTACGTTTGCCGCGCAGAAATCTCTACCTCCTCAAACTCGCCAGATAAGTACTCATTCTCAGACTTCCCAGTAATTCCCAGCCCAGCAAGCAAGTCCCGGACTCACAACAGCTGGCGTAGCAGTAAGCCCCATCTTCTTTGGCCTATTTTGGCATCGTGGCAGGTGCGAAGCCGTTTGCAAAATGCTGGAGAGCTGCGCGGAACTTGGAAGGCGGCGATGGATCTTGCATACCTGCGAACCTTCTTATATAGTTTATGATGAGTCAAGTAGAAACACCATCATGAAGCCCAATGCCTTGCACATCCTCACCCTCAACTAAGTACATAAGCCAGCTGTTTTGAGAACGAAACTTATCAGTGTCCCAGTATTTCTGACACTCATCTTGAAACAGCTACAGCTACCATCTGCAATCCCACCAGGCCTAGACCATGAGCTTTCCCCTACTGTGCAGGGTGCATCCACTACGGTCCGCTTCCACTCTTGAGTGCGGCATGGTATCCATAAAGCACTCCTATAAATTTGCCAGAGATGAATGACTCGCGCAAGGTGGAGCTGGGTGAGGGCTTCATTGCATCGATCGGAATGGCAGAAAGCCGTGTCGAGTGCTCATCTCTCTTGGCTGACTGTAGGAATCCAGGGCTTTCATGCCTCTGGAAAAGGAAAAATGGGTGTAAGTCCTTAGACCAAGCGCCCGTGTCATTCACGAAGCAGGTTCTGCAGGGAGTGCGTGCACCTAAACTCAGATGGAGTTATGTTGCAAAGCTGCCATGATGATTCCCAGCTCGCGATTTCGTCTGGCTGCTTTCTGCTTCATGGCTCTCCGCTTGGCGGAGGCTTGCTGAGCTCCAAGGTGGGCAGCTGCACAATCACATGGAATGCGATACGTCACAGCTTCAGTGTGTAAGTAGATACGTCAGTGAGGCCGCTTTCACCAAGCTCGCCGAGCATCGCTCAGCTTGCGGATTCTGGGCTGGCGGGCAGCTGGGATGGTCGCCCCATGAGTGCATGTTGAGTGTATGCAGGTACCGGTTTACGTGTTGCTGCTTGCCCATAGTCGGGTTCCCGTCTGTTTCCGAAAACGGCCGAAGCTGTGCGCCACCTGCACGCTAAAACGATCTGTTTATCTTCTGTGGGATGTCAACGGGCCCGTCAACGGGCCCTCTTTGGACTCATCCTGCCTCGATACATATTCTTTATCACGTCGCCGTGCGTGGGTCCAGGTTTGGTGATGTCTGCGTGTGTATAAGAGCATGTCTCAGCGTTTCTCAATTCGAGGTGCCGGGCTCCACTGTGTATTGAAACTGAATACAGGTGCAGGATCACTCAGGCACGTGGGCGGCGGGAGGGGAGGATGTGATGTCAGCTGCATATGCAAAACTACCGGAACACCCCATTTCCCATATGTATCAAACGCCCATGTCATGGGTATCCGCAAGTCAGAGCCTTGGAAGCATCGGCCTTGGTCTCGAAGAGCGAAGTCTCTGCCGTGTTCAGCTGCCCCTTATACGGCTTTGAGCCGCCCAGAGATTGTTAGCAAATTATCGGCTGCTGGCCTGGGCCGCGTGCCATTCTGGCATCACAGCCAAGCAGCCAAGGTTGCACTGACAGCTTTCGTACATGTCAGAGGAGGACTGCCAAATAGTCCAAGCCGGACCTCTGAAACCGTCTGCAACGGTCTAAGTCACGCACTGTGACGGGTGTCCGGAATCCAAGCAAAGTCAGCAAAGACAGTGCAGCGCAGCACTGGCCAAAAGCTCACAGCTCGTTAGTGAAGCTGTGAAGAAAGCAGCGCTGACTGTGCAGTGACAGTGGACATTCAGAAAATAGCTGTCACACTCGCCGTGCATGCCTGCTTGGCTTCGTGTTATGCATATCCCTTGACCAGTGATGCTCGAAATCTCTTTGTTCCGAAGCCAACCCCGAAACTACGCAACACGCTGGTCCGAAAACAGAACTAGATGCAAGGCATGTTTAAGTTGAATTTGCTCGCCACAGCAGTCGTGCAGCCTGCGTGTAGCTGGAGAGCTGCTCAAGCCTAGTGGCTCTCACGGAGGAAGCCTGGATGCTTTCTGAGGACTTGCAGTGTATGGGAGTCTCCGGCCCCAAGTTACGTTCCGTGCTTGGTTCTCTGCCTTGCGGACTTCGTTTGACGGGCCCCGGGTGGTTAGATGCGTGCAATGTTTACGAACGGCTGTGAAGCCCAAATCGATGCAGAACCAGTTGCCAGCTACTTTACAACCACGGCTCCGCCTGACCCATCAAAAGGCGCAGGAGTAAAAGCGCGGTTCATCTTCACCGCCAGTTTAGAGACATCCAACTTGCAGTGCCATCACCACTATCCTGGAATCAAGACCAAAAACATACTTGCCCCTTATTGAAAACTCGCCATCTTTGGATCCGGGCCGAGATCCAGGATTTGAAACTTCTGACCATTCCTCACGAACCTCGGCGTCTCAAGCAGCAACTCTTCAACCGCAAGCCAAACATCATCTCCGGAACAAGTTCGCAGATTGGCACCAAAATAGAATTCACACCCACGAACTTCTTACCACAACTCCTTACTAAGTTCTGTAAGAGGTGCGGTGACCCGAAGGTCGCAGGCCGGGGGCGCCACTTGTTGAGCTTCCTGTGAGAGGCCTTCTCCACAAACGCCTCGAAGCCGGATCAGGCGAAAAGACTTCTGAGGGCTGGCCAGGGCTCCCCTCGAACAGAACAAGGACTGTCAGCGGTCTTTATGACTTGTCTTGTCTCCGCAGCTTAAGATTTGCGAAAATTTTGCCAAAGAACCCCACGGGGTCCAAACCCCCACGAATGCCCTCCGCGACGGCACTGGCAGACTGGCAGACTGTCAGAAAAGGTCTCCCCCGGCCTCGCTCTCGTTGTGCTTGGTGACCAGCCACAGCTCCCCTAGCAGAGCGGCAAAGACTCTCTGCAATCCAAAGAACTGCAGGAATGATCATGAATCATGAACAAGCATTCTGAAAGGCACTTACAGCAAGGCGGATCTGCCGGGTGTGTGGTACCTGGAAAATAGAAGGGGGACGCCAGATTGGCAGGCAGAGTGGTGCAGATCCATGTGAACCCTGCCGCATCCTGTCAGTCACTACTCCGGCGCACCGACCCAAAACAGCACGCGGCCTTTGACCAGAACTTCTGAGATGTCTTCCACTCCCAGGCCCTCAGGGTTCAAAACTGATATCTACTCCTACTCCAGACTCCAGATGCCGGGCGATTTATAGTCCGAGTAGTCAAGGCTGGCTCGGGATGGACCGTGGTGGTGGTTGGGAGCACCCTGGGTCTTAGCCTCCTCAGAGTATGCGCTGGACATGTAAACGTGAGGAGCAAGGGTTGCATCGAGGGTCTTGAAGACTAGTTGTGCTCAAGCAAGTGCAATGCCGCAACATACGACCATGCAGCAAGCACTCTTAATCTGAAGGTGCAATGACAAGTACTGCCAAGCACTGCTGTAGTTCTTATCCTCATCCTTTCCCAACGCAGAAGAAGCTGCCGGTCCGCCGCTGTAGAGTAGCTTCAGAGTTTTCATATCATGCAATGAGCAAGGGCAAACAGCTGATATCGCACAGCTTGAATCAGCTGAAGGCCAAAGCAATTCAACAGAAGCATATACAGTAGCAACGGAGATTGAACTCGTAGCACAGTCAGTCCTAGAGACACATTGAAACTCTAGACGTCTGCAGGAAGGGCCTTGATCGCATCGATCCGGACGTGCACTGAAGTTGCCACGGCAGCTTGCGACTGGCACAAGAGGTCTGTAACCAGAACTACTGAGTTCGATCGTCCAGTTGGCACACAGGACCGCTGGAGTCAAGAGCCACAACACGACTTGGCCCGGCGCATCTTCAGAAACTGTGCTTCCAAGACGGATTTCGGTGAAGTCTCTGATAACTTCTCGGTTACGGGACAAAACTTTTTGTTGCGCTGCCTCCACCAGGAACCTCCACAACCCCTTTAACCCAACCGCCCGGTCTGCTTCGCACCGCCTCTCCAAACCCCGCCCGCCGCCAACATAACCCACCCGATGCGACCGGGGCGAGGCGCGCGCACGCGCACGCGCGCGCGCGAAGCGCTCACCGCTTCAGGAAGACCCCCCTTCGCTTTCCAGCTCCCGAGCTTCGTGGACTCCGTGGACTCCGTGGCCCTGGCCGGGCCTCGGGCCAGAGCTCGCGCGCGCAGCGGTAGATCTCCGTGAGAATGCGGAGACCTCGGGGCGGAGAAAAGCGCGCATCAGGCGGTGCCGAGGGATCCCTGTGCTGCTTCCAGCACCTGTTCGTGGTGGCTGCACGAGAGCTTATGCAAAATGTCTTTCAACGTACTGTCATCCTAGAAGCACATCATGTTGTGTCGTCGTCGATGCCGACATGTTGGACCCCTGCTTCGCCAGAGCGTCTGCAGACTGTCGCACCCAATAGTTCCAGCTTTGTCATGGCTCAAGGCCACGGAGCCACGTCCAACTCTGGACTTCCAGGCCCTAGGCCTAGGCCCTACCACTCTGATTGCTGATCATGCTCTGGTCTCCTGGTCCTTCTAGGAGTACCGCAGTCGAAGCGAAGTAGCAGTTGATGTGAATGAGTTGAGACAGTTGAACAGATGGCATGTGGTCCGTGTGAAAGTGGAACTCAAAATCCAACTCATTCGAAAATGTTCCCGCTTCTGAGAGAACCCTGAGAGCACCGAAATCTTGCGTCCCGCACGGAGCACGACCGAATCGGAGCCTTCCGAGTGACTTCAGGGAGGGGATGGGAGGCTGAGGAGGCTGAACGTGAGGCTCCGAAGGCAACTCAAGCACCCTCCGTGGTTCCCCCCGA